TAAAAAATAAAGATTTTCTTTAATTCTTTATCTTTATTTTTAAAGTAAAGATTATCTTTATTCTTTATAAAATAAAGATAAAGATTGTCTTTACTTTATTCTTTATTATAACGAAACATAAAAATAAAGTAACACCCCTAGTCATGAGCACTCTTTTTTTTTCAATATAATAATTATATAATGAAACGACAAAAAAGAACAGAGAATCCTTCGATAATCAATTCTTTACCAAATATTCGAATATAATATAAACAAATCATTTTCTAATAGAGATATTTTATTTCTAACAGTTAACTATTTATAGAGATAACCTTTTACTTTTTTAAACAATTAACCATTTACATTGAAATAAAATCTTCTATTTTACATCGAATTATCTTTTAGTTTCATTGAGAAATTTTTTTTTCGATTAAAATATTCTAATAAGATATAATATATGTAAAATCTCGTTTCGGTCTTCAAAGATGAGACAACTATCAATCTCGACATTTTTCGATTAGGATTCAATCTTATTCTATAGTCAACATTTTATCTCGAAAATAAAATAAAATCAGTTTACCCGATATATAATATAGGATAAAATTCCAAAATGATGATATCTATTTATCGTCTAGAGATATCTAACATCTATTTAAACTACTCGAAACGAATCAGCAAATCACCTTGGTCAACATATATATACCAATTGAGAATATTTTCCAATTATTCTCTAAAATCTCGATTAGGATAGAACTAATCTTCAGATGATATGATCAAATTGAATGTTTAGAGATTGAAGATAATAGGAAGGATCGAAAAAGTGCTTATATTATATGGTAACGATACCCGCAGGAAAGAAAATAATCTTGTGTTTTTTTCTCTCTTCCATAAAGCATATCTTATGTGTTTTTTTTTCATGCTAAGAGAGTTTTAATATTGAGATTAAACTTGATTATAGAAGAGAGAAGAAAAAAAAACGACGAGAGATAGAATAGATCAATTAGATTTTATTTAAATATTAATGTTAAATGAAATTTTAAATAAAATCAATATAACGTTAGAAGAAACTTGTGTTCGATCTTTGTTACCTAAAACAAGTTCAGCTCTAGTTCAGAACTGACGAACTGTTCAAAACGCTCACTACCACAAACTGAACTATTTGAACAGTTCTTTTCAACAAACTGAACCTTTCCAAATAATTTAGCTCTATGAGTTGATCATCATGAAAAGTTACACATACCATCTTCAGGATTCCATAGGGGCATCACAGGCTGGATATCTATGACTCCTTAAGTGTTCTATGGGGATTCTCATAGGTCCGCAAGTTCTATTATATAGGGGGTATCAATAGTTCCTCAAGTCCTATTAAATAAGAGTGTGGGTGTGGGTGTTTATCTTCTCTTCACTTACACCCGCACCTCAAGAATAGTAGAAGAACATCAATAGTAACACTTTATCTATGCTTTCATCGCCTTCACACGATATTAGACTCTCAATTGACTAAAAAATTAACCTACTAATACAGAAATTCATCATACATTTTCAAACAATGATGTCTATGGACTTGTTTCTATGTATACAAACACTTATGGTAATATAAGGTGAGAACAAGAGAAACTCTTAGATATCATAAAAAGAAAGCAAGGCATGATATTATTTATTAAGTTTTTTTGTAATGAATTGCTTTTTATTTTGCTTTCTATTGACAATAAAGATAACGACTAGTTTAAGAAAGAGTGAAGCACTTAAAATGAAACAAAACTCAGAGAGAATGAATATCACGTCTAGATAGAGTTTATAGAGTTATATTTGTAAAGGAGTTTTGAGTGGTGCTGAAAGTTGTATGATTAAAATTGCATTGATGTTGTCATTTGTTCTTGAACTATACTCAGTAAAGATTATAATGCAAGTTTAGTATATCAATTTCCTTCAAACCAAAAATTAAGACAACAGAATAATGAAGATGTGCGTGTAGATGAACTTGTTTTCATAGACACCAACAATCTACACCTTAGCTCATAATTTACTCATTACTACTTGTATTTTGTCTTACTTTGTGGTCTGTTTGATATACTTAACGTGTCCAAATCGATTACAGAGAGGGTGGGTGTGGGTGTGATTAAAGTGATCCGTACACTCACACCTGCATCCACACCCTTATTATATTTTTCTTCTGAGCATGATGAAAATCTGAGAATCGATAGGAATTTGCTATGATTTTTAAACCGATCATGATTTAAATCTGTGCCTAAATAAATATACAAGTTCTTAAAAATTTTCTTTGGAGATTTTTTCACAGTATATATTCTATATTAAAATAGATCTGACATTCAGGGCATATCATTAATGATTTGCTCTATTTTATGCTGAATAATGCTAGAAAATGTACTAAATTAGAGAGTTTACATCTATTGATTTATTTTACTAAAGTTTTAAATAAAAAATATATTTTTTGTGAAGCAAAATTTTTCGATATAAACTGTTGTGTATCTCGTTTATTCGTAAAAAAAATCGGAAAAATATATTTTAAATTAAATCAAAATCAAACACGATATAATAGAATTTTTTTCAATTGAAATGAATATTTCAAAATACTGTCTCGAAAGTTTTTCTCAAAATAATTGTGTTGACAAAAAAAAATTCTAATAAAAGTTAAGATTTTAGATAAAATGAAGATATTGAAGGTTGAACTTATATCTACTAGCATGGCATATTCAGCCGAGTAAGCTGATCGGTATGTGAACTGAAGGTCTGAAGATCAATACTCTATGTGTTCATTTCTTTTCTGTTCTCTTTAAATCATCCTGCCAAAAAGCCTAGTAACATTCTGAAAGAAATCTTGACAAGATCTGGCCAGAGAATATGATAAGATACCAGATGAAACCTATAAGATTCTGGAAGATGTAAACAGAAATTTTTTCATTGGGATCCATTAAAATTCTGGCAAGATTTTTCTGAGATTTTGTTTGAATCCTGCGCAAATCTTGAAGATTTCTTTGCTATACGTTTCTTTCAGGATTTAGGATTTCCTGGCCAGATTCATGATTTTAAATCCAGTAGTAAACTGTTCAGGATCTTGCTTAAATTCTGTTCTTAATCCTGGCAGGATCTTGAAATTTCACGGCTATACGCTTCCTTCAGGAGTTCATCATTTCCTCAGGAAAAAACAGCGACTTCTTGCAGGATCCTTGTTAGATCTATGAAGGATCTAGAAAGGAAACATCAAAGATTTTCCCTAGGATGAGGTCATTCTACGATAGCATATAGATAAAGAGAAAAGAATGCATGAGCTCAAAATGGATGACCTTGCTGATCTTTTGTATGAAAAAATGCACTCGACAATTATGCATAAAATACGATTGTTCAATGAGAATATTTCTTCGAGATGTAATGCTTGAACAACTTTTATTATAGGATATATCTTTTTGAGAGCAGCAGTTTCTTCTCAATAAATCTTAGCAAACTGATCCACGTATTAACTCTCATTCAATGGTATACTCATTCTCGCAAATATTAAACGACAACCAATAAACATCAGCAACTATAAATGATCGTAACCGCACGAATATTCTAAACATAAATATTGATAGAATCCATACCGTTAAATAAGCAAAAGATCAGCCTTTTTAAAGGTATTCACTACAGAATTTCTCAGGACGAGAATTCTCGTCGATCGGATCCAAAGGTTAATGGCATTTATAATCGTGACTATATTCGTATAGTGATTAGAGATGAATATTCATAGTCATTGTTAACGATGACTATAGTAGAGTTGAAAGTTTGACTCATTATTTGAGATAAAATTATGCACGACCGTAACTAATTTTTCTCGAATCTCTTCTTATTAATAAAGATACTTTCGAGTGAAAAATGTCTTCGAATGGAGTATTATTAACTGTTCTACATTGTTTGACTTGAGATTATTTTCAGAAATAAATTTCTGTCAAGTTAAATATCTGAAAGAATTTTAGTTAATTGTTTACTCTTACTCAGTATCAATCATTCTGATCGGTAGTAGTTTATTCCAATCGAAGATAGCCAGATCTGACGAAATGAGAGATTTTTTAATCCAAATTGTTATATGTTGCTAATTGAAATATGATTCGACCATCGTTTTGTTCAGATAATAATTGTTATATGTTTAACTGAATTAAATTCATCTGTAATTCAATCAGTTCGACGAATTGAATATTAATTGATATAAGTCAGGCTGAACAAGAAAAACAATAATCTTACGAAAAACTTTCAGATTAAATCCCGATAGAGATATATATAATTAATAAGAATTTTGATCGTCAAAATTGCAAATAGTAACGTTTTTCGATCTGGCAAGTCTATTCCAAGCACAACCACAAAAATCGATTTGTGGATGTGGATATGAAATTCCTGATTGGAAGATTCTATTATTTTTCATGTGAAACTGACTAAACATGATTTAGTTGGGGAGAAGAAGTTTTCAAAAAACAAACCAATTTAGAATAAATAGATTCGAAAAAAAAAGCCAATCCTCTTGACAATAATTGATGAAATACGATCGACACTTTTTATTGATAATAATTATTTTTATAGAAATATTTTCATATTAGAATTTTAAAAAAGAAATAAACTATAATCATCATGTATAAAAGTTAAGTCACTATGAAAAAGATATTTAGATCAGTCTATTATTTATATAAAAAAATTGAAGACTTTTACTAAAAGAATGATTACCTTTTTCTTTTTTGTTTATGAGTTCTGATCATTTTTTCTCACGATTTATATAATCGACAAACATATTTATAGATTAATTCCATGAGAAGATCAACTGGTTAAACGAAGAATAAAACAAGATTATCAAGTACAAAATAATGGTTGATTAGAAGACTAGAGAATATTTAGTTGTTTTTTTCTCTCATCTCTATCTATAACGAAGAAAGAGAACGAGGTGAATGAGTGCAAACGTAATACTATATAAAGCACAAAAGTTCATTGTTATTGTTTTAATCGGACATGTATTAAAACAAAGAATATTATTTTTTAAAATGTCTGAAAAGAATGAAATAAATGGAAGTAATTCATCTTCAAATAACTTATATTTAGATAAACCATGTACAAAGAAAGAATTATATGGTAATGAATTATTTGGTTTTGGTTCAATGCAAGGATGGAGAAAAACAAATGAAGATTTTTCGAAATATTTAATACCATTTGATAATTATTTATGGAAAGACTGGGCTTTTTTTCTATATTTGATGGTCATAATGGAAAGCGAAACAGCAAAAAATGCTGCTAATATTATTGATAAATATCTTCTAGAATCTCTTAATAAAATTCAATCTAATATTGATTATAATCGATTAAATGATATTATTAAAAGAACATTTAGTGAATTGGATAAACATTTACGTGGAATTGTTCACGATGATAGTGGATCTGTTTGTGTAAGCATTTTTAAAAGAGTTTTTTTTTTCTATTCAATATATAGATAGCATCATTAATTGGTCCAAATGATATTTATTTAATTAATATAGGAGAATCTCGTGGAATAATTATATCAAAAGATGGACAAGTTTTATCATCTACAAAAGGTTAGTTTGTTTTTATTTTAATTATTTTCTTGTTTAAAATCTATTAAATATAGATCATAAACCAACTGTTCGAAAAGAACAACAACGTATACGTCGAGCAGGTGGTCAAATAACAAAAGCTACTAATGATGTATTACGTGTTGAAAATCAACTTGCTATGACACGTGCATTAGGAGATTATTCATTAGATAAACATATTATACCAGCTTTACCTGATATAATTCAATATCGAAGAGATTCATCAGCATCATTTGTTATAATTGCTTCGGATGGAATTTGGGATGTTATCAATAATGAACAAGTTGCATTATTTGTTTCTCAACGAGCATCAAATAAAAGTTTATCTGAAATAATATCAGATTTATTTGATAAATGTTTACAAGAAGAATCTTCTGATAATATGACTGCTTTTATCATTAAACTAGATTAACATAATATATATTATTTTATTCTAGCTCATCAAGATTTTTGTTTTCTTTTTTTTAAACAAGAAAAAGAATATTTATCTTCGTTACTAATAATCTTTCTTTTTTCTTTAAATCCTATTAGAGAGATTTTCACATTTGAGAATACCTGATAGGAAGAGAATAGTTTAGAAAAAAAAAATTAAATCATTCTCTAGTTATATTTATCTTATTAAATTATTAATCATTAGAATATTTTATTATTTATTTGTCGAAATAGATAGAAGATAAATCGTAGATAGCTATTGTTTTAAATATTTATCTTAAATAAATATATCTTCGAGAAAAAAAAATCTCAATCTAGTCACTAGTTTTCACTAAAATCGACTCGAATCTTTAATAGATTACAAATCAATATTCAAAGTTAATATAGATTTAAAGAATATTAGCTAGGTCTTTTTTTTTCCAAATTTTTTCCTCTTCAACAAACAATAATTATCATTTTAAATATGTATATACATATTCTATTGAGATTAATTTAGTTGTCATTATAGTTTTACTCGAGTAGGATGAGAAAGAGTTTTGATGAAAATTATCGAATAATATTAATTCGAATGTTGATAACTATAAATAATCTCTATTTAATTAATTTTCCTAGATTTTCAATATTTTATTGATCGAACAATTGAATCATTTTTTTTTTAAATTTTCTATAATAAAATGAAAAATAAGGAAGATTTGTGATAATGACAATCCTACTTCGAGCAATACTTTAATCACAACCGTTTTCATATATTCAACTATAAAAAAATGATATATTGTCTAATTTACTCTTTTATTATAAATGAGCTCACTGAGTAAAAACTACAATCAATATTAAATAAATGATAATAAAAGTGTATATATATTCTATAAAGCATATTATATATTATAATTGGTATAAAGTTTCGACGTTGATAAAGAGTTTTATGAAACAAATATTAGATGTTGGAAATTGTCATTATAATAAATAATGAAGTAAATGAAATAGTGACTATAGAAACAAAATTGACTTCTATAGAAGACTAATATTGAATAAGATATTATTCAAGCTCGAATAAAAACGGTATTTATTATTATATATAGGAACAAGTCCGAATATCCTAAAATTGATCTGATCATATCCATTAACAAGCTCAAAATCGGTCATCGTTTATAATAGATGAATTAAATTTTTTGTTTTTTCACCAAAGTAGGTAAATATCCTGTTAAACCTAGAAATATTCAAAGATAATTTACATAAACCATTTTAAAAATGATATATATTATTGGTCGTTTTAGTAAAGATTGAATAAGTTTAAGAAGTTAAAAAGAAGAAAGACAAAGACAAACAATTGAACTAATCACTAAAATAAGTCGAATTATTTTATATTATCATTGAAGTTTTCTTAGTCAGTTGACTAAATAAATAGTTCTTCTCTTTATTTTCTACCTTCTTATTGATCCTAGATAAACAACAATTTATATATATGTATAGTACGTGGTCTAGTGATAATCAGAGATTTTCAATTGCTTTTCTATCAAACTGGCAAAAACAAAAAAAAATAAGCAAATCATATTGGTTATCAATATTTAATATAAGATCAGAATACTTGAACGATTGATTCATCTTAATAGTTTTATTCTAAAGGTTAGAAATTCTAAATAAGAATTTCTATATCGTTTATTTATTTATTGACTCATTTAAATCATATATATTTACGTGATTAATTATATTTTAGAAATAATATCTAAACCTAATTGAATTTATCATGAAGAGTTTCACAAGCAAATCCAATAGGAAATTCTTCACGTTTTCCTTTAAAAAAACCAAGAAAAACAAATATTTATTAAATATTCTAAATAATTAAGTATAAACTGATTGTGTTCAAGGCAAATATGTATTTATTAAATAAATAAGAATAGTTGTCTTATTCTATTATCAAACTATTCTCATGGATCTAGACAAATATGGCTAACAAATGAAAATCTTCTTAAACTGGCTAACCAACAACCATGTTTTATCTATGGGCCAAGTCTCTTTACAATAAACTAATGAGTTCTTTCAGTGTATATTCAATGAATATGTGCATCGAATATAAGGTGATTATAGATAGATATATAGGTAAATAATGAGTGGTCACTTTTTGGATTAAGGTCGAGAACGACAATTCTCTCGAAAAAGCAAACAACAAGGAATCTATGACTCAACGAGGTTAGTTAATTTGTTTTCAACTCTTATAGATAATTATTCTGAAAGATTTGTTTTTCTAAGAGTAATTAACGCTTTTTTTTATAAAGGAATAATGTTCATTTCAGAGATAAATGACCGTGATCATTTTTTGAATAACTTTTTATAGGAATGAGATAAAGACCTGGACTTTCCACTGACCGAAACGAGGAGATGAGAACGCATCGAAGCGTCGAGGATGTTCCATAAATAAGATGGCGATAAGAAATGAAAATATCTCCGTCTAGATGTCGACCAAACAAGCTCAAATTTTGACCAGTCATACGAACTATATTCAAACTTTATATTGATAAAAACATCCATAGAGAGAATCCTTCTTAACTATCATTATTGACTTCAACACAAAAATTTTACTTTTTCACAAATACAAGAAAAAAAATAATATAGTTAAGAAAGGTTCTCTCTATGGATGTCTTTATCAATATAAAGTTTGAATATGGCTCGTATGACTGGTCAAAATTTGAGCTCGTTTGGTCGACATCTAGACGAAGAGATTTTCATTTCTTATTGCCATCGTATTTATGGGACAGCCTCTATATAGAAAGATTTTTCTAACTATTTTTCTAAACTTTTTACATAAAAATTGAGTAAAAAGAGCATGCCTCTCATTATTCTAATAAGAAAAAAGAAGATAAGATTTGTTTTTCTCTAAAATGTAACGGTAATAGTAATGTCTATTTAGTGGAGATTTTTTGAGTAACGTTTTCATATAAACAAGGCAGAGAGCTGTGCTTTTGGCTTGTTTCGAAACGAGGAGATGACGATGTGCGTCAAACCGTTTATTAGATTTATTTCTAGCATCTTCTCTCAAATTTATTTAATCAATTTTCTATGTGTGGAAATATGGTTTCATATCAAAAAGAAAATAGTAAAAAAAAACTTGCTTTTTACAAAAATTGTCAGAAAAATTGATTATAGCTTCGACTAGTATATCTATAACTGCCGAATAATAAATTGTAAACATGTGAATCTTGTGCTGGTTTTTCGACCTCTCATTAATGGTTTGAATATAGACCTAACAATTAACAATACACTCTAAAAACCTTATCGGATAGATTTGCTTTGAAAGAAGTCTAGGGGCTGTCTAAAAAACTCCTAACTTAGGGAATCAAATAATCAATGTTTTTAATTTATATTCTTTTTGTAATATGGTTTGCTCTACTTGAATCATTATTTGAAATTATGATAGATACTCTATATCCATTCATTAAATAGATCAAATAATAGAATTGAATCTTACTTTGTAAATGCTAATGAAGCCATATGTCCACCAAGAGAAAAACCATGTAGAATAGCTGATGTTAATTTCGTTTTTTGACACCAATGAAGTAGATCTGGGGGTTTTCTTAAACCATAATATGGATTTTCAAGAAGAATTGAACCTATAGGATATTGATTAATTAATGGGACTGCAGTAAATAACCTTGGTCGACTAAAACCATGATCATCTGTTTCAGTATAACAAATTCCTATTGGAATTGAATCAATACCAAAATGATGATCACATGATAAAACAAGTTGAAAATGAGCTGTAGCTATTTGAGATAGAGCCTATTTAAATAAATATAACAAAAGAAAAAAGATAATATTAATTAAATGATTAAAATAATTTTAATTACTTACTAAATATGGTAAATAATTGGTCAGTGGTGAACGAAATCGAGTATTTATATAATTTTGATTACCTTTTTGTTTCTTGTTTAATTATTTCAACAGTATTTTCCTGTACATTTCCAGCTGGTACAATTTCTAAACACTCATCTCTTACACCAATTTTTTCACGTCGATAGGTAAAAATTTCTTGTAAATGAAATGGATTTACCCAACTACGTACAGATAATCGAGTTATATAAAACGTCAAAAGAGATTATCGAAATTCATCATTTTAATCGTACTCGAATCTTTAATATCATCTAGAGAATTGTTGATCTGATCTTCTTTTTCTTTAATCGAACAGAAAATAGGACAATACAATGCTTTAGTATTCTCAATGGTTTGTAAATACACACACATACAAAAAAAAATTCTTGTATGTTCTTTTTATTTTCCTAAATCAATCTCGTTAGTTTACTATGAAAACAAAAAACAATATTTTTATTGCACAGCACCAGTAATGTTACGTAACATTTGAGGACCATGTGGTAAATAGATGCTATTTCTTGATTTTGATAATTGATTTGCAATACCTTCAGTGGCTTCAATTCGTCGAAGTTCGATCAAATCTAACATGAATATTAAAACAAAGTTAGACAGGATAATAAAAGATATTCGAAAATTTACCATCACCAGCTTCATCTAAAACTTTGCCAATCAAATCAGCTGCACGAGTATCACCTTCTGCTGCAATAACATTTGCTCGACGACTTTGTTCCGTCTGTTTTTTTTTATCAAAAAAAAACAAACTCATACAAATTTTATTCTTATCGATTTACTTTTTCAACTAAAAACCGTTGTTTTCCAACATCTTGTTGTGCACCTTGTTTTAATTCAACAGCACTTGTGAATTCAGGTCTAAAACTTAAATGTGTCTAATTTAAAGAAAAAAAACAATATAATCAACTCGAGACTCTTTTTTGTCGTATCTTACAACTGAAATATCATCAAGTAATAAACCAAATTGAGCAGCACGTTCTATTAAAAATTCACTAATACGTTGAAAAATAAGTGTATGTTGTGTAATCAATTCAATAGCATCAAATTGAGACTTAGTACAACAGATTTTAAAACTTCATTAATAATCGATGATAAAACACGTTCTTCATAATCTAAACCCAAATTTGCAAAAAATTTTTGGTAAAAGCTCAGCTCTTGGTTGATAAAGAATACGTAATTTTATATTAATCGTTTGTAAATCCAACCGATCAGTTGAGTCACCATCGATGGCCGCAAAATTTTTTAAGATACCTCAGCCATATACATTCATTGATGTTTGAATAGACATCGTATTTACCTTGGTTTTTTGCGAGCTTATATTTTCCTCATGTTTACCTCTCTCCTGAAGTTGACTGTTTTCTTCTAGCTTTTATACCTTTTATTTCTGTTATTGATAGAATAGATCGTGGTCGTGTACGAATATCAAATATAATTGGTCTATGAAGCCATGAAATCATAAAATGAGTTCCTTCTTCAATAACACCTAGTTTAACACCTTGGAAACAATCAAAAATAACATCTCGATGACCACCATCAACTACAATATATTTATAGTTAAAGAAAACAAGTTTTTTTTTTAATCTTTTCATATTAACTATTATAAAGTATACAATTAATCACACCACCAACAATAGCTAAACCAATACCAATTCTTCTTAAAACACTAAATTCTTCTATCGAAATAAAATATTATCTCAATATCTTACCAATATTATTAAATAAACGAGATGAATTTATTAGCAAATAGTTCCAGAAACAAAACGAAACCATATGAAAATTCTTCATATCTCTATCGATAGAAAAAGAAAATGCATCACTATTTAATCTATATATCTACTACAATAACAAACCAATGTAATATATATATATAGAAAAAGATTAAATAACAATAAACTTTGAAGCAAAAAAAAATACATGCATACTTTTAAATAAATCGAAATCACTTGAAAAAAAATACGTACACCATTTTTTTTTAGACAAAACAAAAGAAAAACAAAACGTGTATAAAGTTTAGCACCGTTCAGATATTGTTCACCATTGGGTTTTAATGAATTTGATGTATCACTGTTCTTTGCTACTGCAGCAGTAATTGCTTCGAATGCTGGAACAGTCTATAAAGAAATTATTTGTATCATAGAAAAAGAAAAAGATTTTTCAATTACTATAATTTGGTTTTGTTGAAAAAAATTGTTGTGAAAATGATGCACCATCAACACGAAAGTCTTCAAGATTTTTATAATTTTTTAAAATTTCTTCAAGTTTTGGATTGATTTTTGGTTTTTGTTAAGAATATTTTAGAAATGTCCAGAATTTTTCTAAACCATATAATTGACCTAAATAGAAAAATTATTTTTGTTATTGACACTTTTCTTTTTTTTTTTGTGTAATCTTTTTTATTACCAGCTTCATGATTACAAAAAGTTTCATGTTGAAAATCTTCAAATACATGTTGACGAAAATGTTTTTCTAGATCATATGTATAAAATCGAAATAGACATTCAACACCATATCTATACATAAATCGTAATATTCAATTTTTTTCTTATTATTTTTCATAAGAAAAACGACTAAAAACGATAGAGTGTATCCATTTCCATCGATTGACCAGGACCAAGTTTAACGCTTTCTAGAAATTAGATCATTACAGAAAACAAAATGTATCTTATTTGTAAATCAACATAACTGTCGATTATAAATATTTTCTATGAAATAATAAAGTTTGGCGATTAGTGAAACTTAGTGTTTTTAATCATTGACGATTATTTTATTGCTTTTCAAATTTATCATGTAGATAAGAATGATAGTATTTATTAAAAAAACTCCATAAAAGAGTCAAATCTTTGTTTTTTTTTTGAAAATTATAGCAACAGACATATTCTCTATTATCTATTTAAATAAGAATATAAGTCTTTCTAGACTCTGATTTTTACCGGAGAGTAATTTTCATTGTTGTGTCTAGATATGTTGACTCTTCTTTAGTCATTAAAAGACTCGTTTTTTTACGTTCAATGTAGCATAATTTCAATTTTTTTTTACCAGTAGCTTGTTTCTCTCGAAATATTGTAAACATGTACTGAACTAATAACCTTTTTTTTCTCTACAATCAACGTTGTCTTTTTTACCATCAAGACATTCTTGTTTATATTTAAGATAAACTTGTTGAGTAAAACTATTTTGTTGTAAAAGTGTATGAGATGGATGTTGAAATTGAAGAATTTCCACCAGTATTGAACCATAAATATCATATGAATTTGAATTATTTTCATGCCAATAATATGAATCATTGTATGATGATGAATATTGACCATAGAAATCTTGTTGTCGAGTTCTAAATAAGTAAAACTCATTCTATACTAATAATAATTGACATTCAATTGTTTGTATTAGGAACAAAAAATATAAGGAAATTCGTCAAAAAAAAACAAAGCAACACAAGTTGGTGGGTGTGTCTATGTTCTTCATTCACACCCACCTACACACCCACACCCTATTAGTGATTTAATTTCAACAGAAATATTCATTCGATGGGATAGAAATTGAATTTTATGAAAACTTTTTAATTTTCTGTACAGTTATTTGACTTTGTCTTAACGAGTTTTCATATAATGACAGTGCAGTCGTACTCAACAGACTTGTTGATCTTGTGTTTCCAAGAAAATGAATATGTTCATTGGAATAATGCACTCTAATCAATTTTCAAAAGTCGTACTAGAAAATAATTCTATGATTTATGATTCAAATTAATTGCTTTTATTTTTTCGATGATGATGATGATGATGAATAGAAATTTCTTTTGATCCAAAAAAAGGAAAGAAAAGAATATGTATTGTCCATGAAGGACTGTATATGAACAAAGGACAAGTATTCACATCCATACACATGAAAAATGATGAAATTAATTCGTGTCTCATCATTTCAATTAATCATGTGATGATTAATCAAATCAATTACATTCGAATGTGCACATCATCGTCAATTATCGTTCGTCAAATTGATATCAACATCATTAGAATGTCTTTGATTAGCAATGTATGTTTAAAAACATATATATATATGAAACACATTTTCACCAGTATTCTCATACGATTCGATCGAACAAATCATGAGCATGCTCAATAAAGATAAAACATGACACTCACATGATTTATTTTTCACGGTTTACAATTTTTTATATTACTTACAATAATTAGTATTATTTTACATTATGATTTTTTTATCAATGACATACAGTTATCAATTTATAATTATTTACAATATTATAAATGAAATATATTTACAATGCTACGTATGAGTTTATAATGTATGAAAATATATACATTTATAATGAAATTTGTTACATAATGTTATGTTAAACATTTGAATTCTATAGTAGGAAAAAGAAATCTATACATGTTTAATAATTATTATGTAATTTACTGGAATATAGCAATAAAGAATGTTCAACGGTGTGGATGTGGTGGGTGTCGAGTTTGTAGATATGGGTGTGTAGGTGTGCACACGTGAATCCATATGCGAGCATGCTGGTTTTTATCTGGACGTGTCAGTGTCCAGTAGAAATAATTTGGGACGCAAAGAATTAAAATACATTAATTTTCGATGATATTTACAGATCGATATTATATAATGATGCATTTTTTTTAGAACGAAATCTAGGGGTGGGTGTTATTAAAATTCATTTCTGTACAATTCAATAAATGCATTATATTATAATGAAATTTTATCAATTTCATAATGAATTAAAATGTTTTGATTTACAATGATATTCATTAAATCATATTATATTAAGATGTATTAATTTACAATGAAATTTATTATATGTTGTTAAATTCATTACTTACAATGATATTTATTGAATGATATTATTTAAAGATGCATTATATTACAATGAAATTTATCAGTTTATGATGCATCAAAATGTATTAATTTACAATGAAATTTATTTTATGTTGTTAAATTCATTATTTACAATGATATTTATTGAATGATATTATATAAAAATGCATTATTTTACAATGAAATGTATACAATTTACGATGCATTAAAATGTAACAATTTATAGTGAAATTTATTATATGATGTTACGTTACAATACATTGGTTTACCATAATATTCATTGAATGATATTACATAAAAATGTATTAAATTACAATGAGATTTATTGTATGATGTTCTGTTAAAATTCATTAATTTACGATAATATTCATTGAATGATATTATATAAAGATACATTATTTCAAAATGAAATATGTAAGTTTATGATGCATTATATTATATTAAATTACAATGAAATTTATTGTATAATATTATGTTAAAATGCATGAATTTACCATAATATTTATTGAATGATATTATATAAAAATATATTAATTTACTATGAAATTTATTATATGTTGTTAAATTCATTACTGACAATGATATTTATTGAATGATATTATATAAAGATGCATTATATTACAATGAAATTTATCAGTTTATGATGCATCAAAATGTATTAATTTACAATGATGTTTATTGAATCATTATATTAAAATGTATTAGTTTAGAATGAAATTTATTGAATGATGTTATTTACATTCATTGCTTTACAATGCATTAATTTATAATGAAATTGATTCATTCATTCATTCATTCATTCATTCAATGATGTTATATTATGGTTCATATTTTTTTACAATATCTTTGATTTCAATGATAATATATGTTAGGATGTATTGATTTATGATAGAAATTTATTCTATGATGTTTTTAGAATTCATCTGCTTTTTTTTTATGAATTATATGAAATTATAAAAACCATGAGAATGTTAAAAAAGAATATGATTTATTATTGATTTATATCAATAACACGATTGGGTATGTTGCTTCAAAAATTATCTTATTTATCTTGAGAAAGATTTGAACAAATAAATTAATAGTTGAAAGAACAATTCTAAATTAAATTTTCATAACAATACTTACATTGAGATAATGTTAGAATAAGATATAGATGATTTATTTCGGATGAAATAGTTTTTTCCTTCGTTGTTGTACACATTTAGTGTATACTATTATTATGTTAAGTCTATGTTATTTATGTTAGAAGATAGATACCAATTTATATCACAGCCTTATCAGGTGGCTTCGTAACCTGATCCAGAGAGAGATTCTATTCGTCATGGAATGGCGAAAGCAGTGTAGTGCTCGGGAAGACCTTTAATGTACGTAGGTCCCTGCCGTCATTATGTACGGTACATCTATGTACATTGCCCTACCAGTCCGGCGTGGTCCGCTCTGTGTGTACCCGTTTCATACCGATAGGGCCTCTCACTGGTCGCGCGCGCGCGCGTACGCGTGAAAATGAGCCTAGAAAAGTAGGGAAGTGGAAAAGAATCAAAACCAATTTATTGAGCAAGTAAATGAAAACAAAAATTACATTTTCATTCGAATTTTTTCAAATGTTTCTTTATATTCCAAAAGATGAGGATGAGTTGAAGGTAATTTTTCTTGAGCTATTTCAACTGCTTGTTGAATATTTTTCATTGCCATACTATATTTTCGTGTAGCCAAATATAATTTTGCCATATTATGATATACAACAGCTAAATCAGGATGATTTTTTGATAATTTCTTTTCACGTATTTCTAATCCTTTTTCGAAATATGTCAATGCCGTGGAATAATCTTTCATTTCACGATAAGTTTCACCTAAATTTATATATGTCGTTGCACAGTCCGTAGGATCACATTGAACATTTTCTTGAATATTTAATGCTTTTTGATGAAATGCAAATGCTTTTTCATAATTACCCATTAATCGATGAACATCACCTATATTACTATAAGTAATAGCCTGATAGGGATGTTTTTCGGGTAATGTTTTTAGATCTATTGCGAGACATTTTTCGAAATTATCAAGTGCTTTTGAATAATCTTTCAAACTGCGATAAACTCTTCCCAGCCAACTATATGTTGAAGCAAAAGCTGGATTACCTTCTTGAAATGCTTGTTGTTTAATTTGAAAAGCACTTTGAAGAGCCCTAAGAGCTGCTGCGTAATCACCTAGGTCATGATACACCGAGCCGATGTTGTTGTAGGACATAGCCAAATCGGGATGATTCGGAGGCAGAGCTTTTTCGTAGATGTTATGTGCTTTTTCGTAGAATTCAAGTGCTTTCGAATAGTCACCCATGTTGTTATACACTCCACCGATGTCGTTGTAGGAAGTAGCCAATAAGGGATGATTCGAAGGCAGAGCTTTTTCTCTTATTTTAAGTGATTTTTCGTAAAATTCAAGTGCTTTCGAGTAGTCACCCATATTGTTATACACTTGACCGATGTTGTTGTAAGAAGTAGCCAAATGAGGATGATTCGGAGGCAGAGCTTTTTCGTAGATTTGATGTGATTTTTCGTAAAATTCAAGTGCTTTCGAGTAGTCACCCATGTTGTTATACACTCCACCGATGTTGTTGTAGGAAGTAGCCAAATCGGGATGATTCGGAGGTAGAGCTTTTTCGAGGATTTTATGTGCTTTTCCGTAAAATTCAAGTGCTTTCGAGTAGTCACCCATGTCGTTGTACACTATAGCGATGTTGTTGTAGGTATTAGCCAATGAAGGATGATCTTCTGGAAGAGTTTTTCGTTCAATTTTGAGAGACATTTCATAAAATGAAGCTGCTTCTTTGTATTGTCCTTGGTTTCGTTTCACCCATCCGAGCTGGTGATAGATATGTGCTTTATCACTGTCATTAGAAGCCTGTTCTAGTAGTGCCATGTACAACTCTTCAGCCTTGTCAAATTGACCAATTTTGAGCAGCAATTTACCCATTCGATACCATCCAGTGCTACCTGAAGATTCTTCTCGTATACGATCAGTTAATTGATGAAGTTGCTGGTCATCATCAGACGTAAGTTTGAGTTCCACTTCATAAAGTGGACTTTTCTTATCAATTTTTCGAACTTCACCGATTCGAAAGACGGTGTGCATTGTGAAGAGAATTTCCTCTTCTTTTGCGAAATCACTAACCTCCTTGATGGAAGCAAAAGGAGTCGATGAGACCATGGGATCGATGGTCATTTGAAAGAGAACTCCAATCATTTCTTCTGTTCCTAGGGCATCTCTGGCGAAGCCGAGAGAAATATCACGATCTACACTGGTGGATAAAAAATTATTGAATGAAATGAGTCCACCTTTG